GATAGTTATTCAACACCAACGATTCTTCTATCTGTTTTATTTCGTCATTTAGGTCTTTTCTCGTACTACTTAGTATTACTGCTTGGTTTGTTAGACACTTAACTAAGCCAGCCTTTACAGACAACGGAGGCGATCAATTAAAGTCTAAATATTTAACAACAGGATGCGTTGGCTTTCTTATAATAATAATAATAATAATTGCTTTATTCCAAAAACAGTACTCATGATACAGCAAGGAATTTTCAGCATTCAGTACAATATTGCATCTAATTTACCCAAAAACGACAAAAAAAATTAAAAATACACAATACATAATAGTAATAAAACGATTGTTGTAGCAGCTACGTAGCAAAATACTGTGTGCCATACGGAGAAAAATATGTATAAAGTACAAAATTGTAGTAATAATAGTAATACCAACTAAAATAAAATAGCAGAGTAACGATTTAAACGATAGAAAGTGTAACACCATAAAATACAGAAAGATGAGCGATAAAAGGGTCGATTCACTGTACTAATTACATAGTAACTTGTAAGTTTCACGTCTAACAGAGTCTTCGTCACATAAAGTACGCGCTAAATAGGGTATTGTAGAATTTCTATACTTAGTAGTACGAGCATATATCTTTTTATATTGACTTCTCGTCCTACCTGATGAGATACAAGGGGACAGGTGTGAATAAAGGGGGTGCAGAGGGTCTGACATTATAGTCTTTGCCCATTTCGTACAGGAATTTATATACCTCTCGACTATAGTATTAGCGAGCTCATGCAGTGGCAGACCACAAGCTCTACTCACAGCATTTAATACTCTTCGTAATATGATATAATCTTTTTTGAGAAGCCCAGGAAAGATTAATGGAGAGCAGTAGAGTACAATAGGTAAAATACAGGAGTTTAAAAATTGCAAAACTAAAGGTTGGTTGATACCTGCACTAGTGTGCGGTTTACCTTCTTCTGTTCGTTTGAGTTTACAATCTAACTGTGGTGATTGACAATTTCTATCTCTGTATTGTTTCAATACTTAATGTTGATTGTTAATATGTTTCTTACATAAATTGCATTATAATTCCGCTAAATACAAATTCCTGAATTCTGCCCTCTCTGTGTTTTGTTTGGATTCGTGTAATTCGGTCATCTGGAAATACTAATATTACGATTACAATAAATTACTACAAATTGGCGTCGCGATGGAACTAAATAACCTGGGAAACTTTCCTAATAATGGTTCTCCGCGGGAGATTGCTGATTATTTGGAATGCTTCGATGCGTGGTGCATTTCAAAGAATGTTCGGGATGACAAAATACCAGCACATTTCATTACTGCTATTGGGCTAGATGCGTATAGCCTAGTAAAGACTCTGTCATTTTCAGAAAAACCTATTTCTCTGTCATATGTCAAGATTCGTGAACTTCTTATAAATCACTTTCATGTAACTACATTTGAGACCAGAGAGAGGGCTCAATTCCATAAACTGGTTCGTGCTCCCAACCAGAGGATTAGAGACTTTATTCTGCAACTCCAAATACAAGCTTCAAAGTGTAATTTTAAAGATCAGCTGCATACTCAACTACGTGATCGTCTAATTGCTGGAATCAATATTCCTAAGTTAGAGAAAGAGTTAATTCAGATTCCTTCTTGTACCTTTCAAACTGCTAAAGATTTATGTATTACATATGAAGATGTCAACAGTGAATACTCTGCTCCTACTACGTCAGTATCTGATGTTATGCTTTCTAAAGTCGAAAATACAAGTGTTTATGGAAAGCAATCCAAACTCTCGTCCACAGGTAATAGAATGCAGCGAGAGATCAAAAACATTAAGCCGTGTTTATCCTGTGGAAAGTTACATCTACGAAGCACTTTCCGTTTTCGGAGTGCTAAGTGTCACAAATGTGGTAAAGTTGGACACATCAAGACTGTTTGCAGAAGTTCGAATACTTATGCTGCTCAACATTCTTATAATTCTCCCAAGCTGTTTAGTAAAATGGAGTCAATGTGTCTTTCAACCTTTCAAAATACTCAAGCTAATCCAATGAAAACCTCCACTACAAGTTCAGCAACTCAAGCGTCAACTGTTTTCAAAAATGAGGTAGCTGAGTTACAATGCGAACTGTCGAAAACACGAAAAAACTGAATGAGATGAGAGAGCAACTGATTAAAATGGAGGAATTGCTGCATATGCATATACTGCGTCTGTTGAATGCGGAGCATACAAGTACCCGTGAAAGTCCTGCAAAACTATTCAAATCTCGAATTCTCAAAAAGCATCTGATGTCCACGACTTCTCAAGTATATTATTACAAAGGGAATGACTATAGACCTTCTGTTGGAATTGTACTACAAAGAATGGGAAATCGAGTGGTGAAGATATTAGACATCAAAGATCACTCAGTTCATAACGGACACCTGGACAAAGTGACAATAAATGAAATAATTCAGAAATAAGTCCAGATAATACTGGTGAAAATGATATCACAGAATCAGTTAGAAGGTCGCAGCTACTTGCAAGCAAACCGAGACATCGTTATAAATACGCAAGGAGACATTCGACGTGTGGCGGATGTGGTGATTGACAATTTCTATCTCTGTAATGTTTCAATACTTACTGTTGATTGTTAATATGTTTCTTATATGAATTGCATAATAATTCCGCTAAATACAAATTCCTGAATTCTGCCCTCTCTGTGTTTTGTTTGGATTCTTGTAATTCGGTCATCTCGAAATACTAATACTACGACTACAATAAATTACTACACTAACACTGTGGCTAATTCTCCTTGTTCATTTTCCGATTTGTATGTGAATTTTATTTCCTCCAATAGTGAGTTAATATGCTTGAAGAAGTTAAAGATATGTTCTGTTTTTAACACTGTGAAAGTGTCATCCACACATCTCTACCATATTATATTTGGAGTGGGATTAAATGTATTTAGAGCACTATTTTCCCAGCTGTCCATAAATATGTCGGCTACAATAGGGGATATTGGTGATCCAACCAATTGCCACACCACCTGTTTGTCTATATATTTTGCCTTGGAATTTGAAGACAGTAGATGTGAGGCATAAGTGAATTCCTAAAATAATTTTCTCAATGGGCAGCTTTGTCCTATGAGTGAGTTCAGGATCTGCAGTTAGTTATTTTTTAACTGCTTCTAAGGTCATATTGATTGGTACACCAGTATAAAGATTAGTTATATCCAAACTAATCATTGTTTCATCATTCTTATATCAGTGTATACTTTGGCATCAGAATTTTAGTGATTATGTTCAACCAAAGTTCATGGTCGTAGATAACTGAATATATGTGTATGGGGAAACAGTTGTAAATCATTCGTTAACCTCTCCATAAGAAGATATAGACAATCGGGAATTTGAATCAAATATGATTGATTAATGACACACTTCCATTTTTATTTATTGATCAGGGAACGTTTTCACTGGATAGGAATAAAACTCTTGAAATGACAGTATTGTCCAATCCACATCTCTGCACGAAAAATAGATCGATGAATCGTTCCACCATCTCTCCTGGTCATTGAAATATCCAGGAAACCGAATTTGTCATTCTGTTCGAATTCGAAAGTCACACTCAGATATTTGGATGAATATGATTACATAGAGTAATAAAGTTTTCAATAGATTTACTATTATTACCCGCAGCTTCGGTGACACCTATATATATATATATATATATATATATATATATATATATATATATATAGAACCAATAGAATACTGCGATGTCGTTGAGAAGAACATGTTCCAAAATGGTTATTAAAACATATAGAAATTCCCAATGCAATTAATCTGAATATAAATCCATCATCACCCATTGCAAAACACCTATTAATGTCAGGTAACGAAACCACTATTGATGACTGTTTGACAATTATTTCACATAATTCTAATTCAAGGTTGCTCACTGAAGGTGATGGAAGAACTTTTAGGATTAATCACATACATCTTAAACTATGTGTACAAAAAGCAGTAGACTTCGACCTTCCCCTAACATTGACTACTTGACCTTTTTAAATATGATTGGTCATTAGTATGTACTTTAGGTCTTATATAACTGAGTGGTTATCATGAAATTTATTTTATTATTGATAACCACGCTAGTTGTAAAGCGGTTGTAAAGAAACTGCGAAGTGACGATATTATCTCACGAAATTTGTCTTCTAAATGCCTTATTCAAATTTTACTAGGTTATTTTTAATTCTCTTTCTTCATTAACTTAACTTAATCCTTGATATGTATATGTGATTACATTACACCTTAAAATATGTAAGTAATGGAAATTAAATTGATCGGATATTTCCACTGCTAGAGGAAAATGGCAGTCAGTGAATTGCAAGCGATTCTGAAGCATTCGTATAGGCCAATCAAATAATAATCTTTAGCGTCCCCCAGCCAAACTATGTGGACCTTCCCATGTGGCTCAGACCAACAGTCAGTGTTTTCATTGACTGGTATCATTTTTACGTCTCAAAACTAATCCTATTCTAGCTAACAAAGCGCATCGATAAAGGCGGCGGTTAGGCATACATAACACATGTCCTAGTTATGTTGACAGATACAGTTTTGCATTCGACTGGACTCCACAGATATTTCACACCGGTTAACACACATTTACTCAGAGTCTCCATCTCTGTCGTCATTAGCTACATCATTTTATCAACACTCTCTTAAGAATAACTGTAATCTTTGTTTAGTCAGAACGAATTACTCCTGAACGCGTACATCAAAATAATTTGGTCTTTTGACTTATTTCTTCATCATTTTTTACAAGTTAGATAGGCTGCTGAATAACTAAGTACTGCAGTACATTGGTCAAATATTACGTAATAGCGGCAACTTAGACCTTACTGCTGAGAGTGAGACTTGATAAACGAAACTGGCATCTTCCAGTAGGTGACGTTTAACTGTCGGTCCTAAAAAAGCCACCACAATAGGCCAGGTGGGCATTGGTGGCCTGCTTTCCTCATAGTTGCTGAAATGGCTAGATGGAAAAAAATGCTGAATTATAAACCAGAGTTAGTCATATCCCGTTATCTTGGCTAGGTCTCATAAGTCCCGCAAAGCCCTATTCAAGGGCCCTTGATGTTTTTGATTTTCTCCAATGGCCTACCGTTTGAAAATCACTGCTTGTTTTATGAGGATGACATAAGGACTTGGAGGGCACTGAAATTTTTGGAAGACTCATATAGACTGCATGCAGACATAAAATCTGTAAAAGAATACACGCAGGTCAAAGGAATGCCTTTGAACGTCAAGAAATGCACAAAGATACGACTACGTACGTCAGCGACACAGACAGTAAGTTACCTTCTGTGTGACGATAAGCCGTCCGGCGCAAACACTCATTCCAACGGAAAAACTGGATATGATGGTGAATTACTCAGGTAACGTGGCTGGAATGAATGAGGTTATGTACTCCACACCTGTGCAGTTAAACGCACTCGCACATGATCCTATTCTGACTATATGAAATTTATAGACAACCACAACTTGAGGTGCATAATACCATTGCTTCTCATCACCTAAAAATGACTCCAATCCCTTGGAAGTAGCTCGAAATAGGATGAAGTAAGAAGTTATGGACCTTATGAGCTAAGTGTATGGCACAGGAGATATAATCATCAGAACATCTTGTTAGTGGGTCGCACCAAATCGGGCCCTGATCCCAACCAGTCTGCTTTAAATAACTCTTCTGCTTAACCTGCATATGCTTTCATTTACGTTTCGGGCATTCCTTCTTAACTACTCATTTGTATACTAGTTTTTCTTCTTCAATTTAAATATTCGACACTAACTAACTAACTATGTCATTCTTATCATTACTGTTATCATAATGTTTTCTTTCAAAATCAATTAGACCACACAGGATAATTAAGGAATGAAAAGCTCAAAGCAAATGGCAGCAGAGCTATAACCTTAAAATATGGCATACTGCAAGTCACAGATGGCAAGAACGTACTGATTAACCACCACTCTCCCACTAATGGGCTCTGCGCCCACTTTTTCCTACTGCAGCCAGCAAATATTTTGATGTAAAATTTTACTTAACCAAAAATCAAGAAAATAAACCTGTATTGTAGTTGCTGTGGGTGTCTTTATGACGACGTATAGTCAATTATTGCTATTTGTCACTAATGCACATGTGTAGTGAAGGCGAATTGGCGGCGTTTATGTAATCCGCGGAAAGGCAGCTTCAACATTACACGATTCATTTATTCAAAGAAGTATTTAAGGAATGATTTCGGTACATACCACACTTCCCTAGATGCTGAAGACATAAAAATGTTTTACTGTAGAACAAACCTGTGAAAAATCCCCTTGCAGGGAAAATAACATGAAGGCATTGTATGAACATTTGGCGCATACTTCCCGTAGTCACTGGCAGTGGTTTTAAACATTAATGGCTTCTTGTAATCTTCTTTTCGATCTTCATTATTTAAGTGTGGCATTTTAAAGTGCAGCAGAGGCTTGATGATATAGCAACTGCGAAAAAATTGAAAGAGATGGATTTAAACAACTAATGCTTCAAAAAGGAGAGTGGCAGTTTTTACGCTGTGAATTAACTTCGGCTTTTGTTTTGTGCCTATTAACAGAATCACTGTATCTACTTTACACACTGATGTGTAAAATTATCTCTCACAAATTTATGCTGTGCCAGTCCCTACATAAATGCTATTTTTTATGCATATGGAGGTTGCTGGGTGTGAAATCAGCAAAAATGTCAATTGGTCAAACTAATGGTAATACGCACCATTAAAATTTTCTACTCTATGTTCGTGAAACGCCTAATAAACTCTGAGTTACTTTCCTTTCTGGACTTCTTCAATTCGTCGCCTTGCTATAGGATATTGCAATATGTGAAGTTGGATTAATGCATGCTAAGACTAGTTTACAACCTCCCCTAGTTAAGTAGCTTGCTAGTTCTCTAGTTTTCCTAAGCCCCGTGATGAAGGAGGGTTGGGAATGAAGCTAGCGACTCTACACCATTAAACCTATCAAACCGCTAAAGAAACTCCAACGCAAAGAAACAATATTGAAAATACAAAAACTCCAAATAACACTCTTATTCTTCGCTCAAATCGGAGAGGCGAGATGACATAGCAAGCTAATGAAAGGTCCACCTTCAGGAAGTCAGTCAGTCAGACGATGAGTCTTCTCTCGATGAAAGCAAGAGTAAGAATAGGAATGCAGAATGTCTGTACAACGTATGGGGCTGGCTGGGAAGGCTCCCCAGGTAGCCAGAGAAATGCGAAGATATGGATTAGAAGTGCTGGGAATCCGCGAGAGCAGACACAATGAGTGTGTATTATCGAAATTGTCAACTGGAGTGTTTAGCAGTCTACTCCGGTCACCCAGACGACAACCACGAGCACACTGATGTAATGAGTGGCAATCACGTTGTCACCAGTGGCAGTCAGAGCCCCAATGCAGTGAGAATCAATTTCATCCTGCAGAACCATGACAGCAAGATTCAACCAAGAGGGAAGGAAGGTCACAATTATCCAATGCTACGCACAGTGCTACAAACGACGCGGAACAAGCGAAGAAGGAAGATTCTACGGACAACTACAAACACCAATGGTTCACATCCCAAACGGTGACACCAAAATCCTCATGAGCGATATGAATGCCAGTCAAATTTGAAGCGGGTGATACAGGAAGAGAACTCACCATAGGTCGAGAGGCTCTCGCTCGAAGAGATGAATGAGAACAGATAACTCTTAACAGACTCCTACGCTTTCATGATCTGGTGATCGCAGGCAGTGTGTACAGGTACAAGGATATACACATAGCAACATGGATCCCATCTGGCGGACACACCCCAAACCAGATAAACTTTATCTTTATGATTCTCTATGAAGTGGAGACGCGACGTGCCTGCTGAACACAAAGTCGGGAAGGCGAGCAGATGTGAGCTCAGACCATCATCTAGATCAAGGAAACTTCAAGTTGAAGCTGAAACCCTACAAAGCAACTGAACACATCCCACTGTAATTTAGGTAAAACTTTCAGAAACTGAAGGACAGAGCTATGAGGGATACCTTCACCTCAGATCAGATTAGAGTAGAGTCAGAGACACTATGTGGCATCAACGAGGAAACCTACTTGGAAGAACATTGGGACTAACTCTGTGGAGGTGATGTTCAAGGAAAGGTGCACAACTGTCCTAGGAAGAAAGAAGAGACAAAACAAGGAATGGCTCTCAACGGATAACTAGAAGACAATCGAAGAGAGGAGAGGAGGACGGTGAAAGAGAAGATGACTACTCAATACAAAGATTGGCAACACGAGGAGAAGCTGAGTTTACTATACGCCAAGCTGCACTGAAAAAGGAAGTGAAGAAGAGTACCAGGAGAGACAAAAGACAATTCTACAACACACTCACCGGTAACTGAAGCAGAACAGACAGGCAGGCCACAGGTAAAAGAGATCTAGGAACATTATATCAGACAACCACGTCTCTATTCGGGAAGAGATCAACCCAGATGGTGAGACCAATAAAAGATGTTCAAGGGAACCTAGTTAACAAGGAGAAGAAACAAACAGAACAATGGGCTGACCACTACAGATCACTCTTCAATCGAACATCAACTGCAACTCGCCGAAAAATACCACCACCACCAGCACGCCGAGAATCGCTTGCAAGTGGACACCAATCCTCCAACGAAAGCGGAAATCCTAAATGCAACTAAGCTACTGAAGTCCAGGTGAGAAGGCAACAGGATTCGACGGAATTACCCCACATCGAAACACTAAAAGCGGACACAGAGACTGCAGCAGTTGTGCCACGCCATTATTGCAAAAGATTTGGGAAGAAAGAAAAGTGCCTACTAATTGGAAGAAAGGCTGGCTACCGTGTCAAGCTGTTGAAGAAGGGTGGCTTACGTCTCACTCTGCAAGAACTGGCGTGGAATAATGCTCTTGTCCACACCAAATAAAATACTAAGTTACACCATCCTGGAGAAAACAAAAGATGCACTGGATACTGAAATCTGCCTTCCAGTAACAAGCAGAATTCAGGAAGGTCGAATAGTGTGTTGATGAAATTGCTACACCACGCGTTTACACCGGACAACTTCATCGACTTTGAAAACGACTTCGACAGACAGCGTTGAGGGAGAAGTAATTTGAAGACTACTTCAACACTATGGCGTGGAGTGCCCAAGTCTTTGTCAACCTCATTCAGCAGCTGGATATATGGCAGTGCCACGTGTCAGGTGATTCACAACGGAAAATTCAGAGAAGCGTTCGAAGTGAGTACATAAGTAAGACAAGGCTGCCTGTCTATTATCACCAGTTATATTCTTAATTGTAGTGAAATGGATTATGCGTCAGACTGTTGAGGGTGAGAAGTCAGGAATATTTTGGACTGCCAATAAGAAGACTCCAGAAGATCTGGATTTCACGTGTGGATGATATATATCTAATGTCATACAAACTTGAGGACTTGCAAGCGAAGACCAACAACTCGGTTGAAGAGGCAGCGAAGACAGGACTGGGTGTGAATATGTAGAAAACAGAGGTTGTGAAGACAATCAAACAACCAACCAACCGACAACAAAGACCAGCAACAATCACGGGAGAAATTTGACGGAGGTTACTTCCTTCACTTACCTGGGAAGTATCGTTTCAGTTACAGACGAAACGGATGAAGGTGTCAGAGTTAGAATCGGAAAGGCAAGATAATCGTTTATCAGCTTGAAACCAGTTTGGAAATTTTCTGCAGTGCACTGAGCATAAAGAAAAGTATTCGATTTTCAACACAAATATCAAGTCAGCCACTTCTTCCATACGGGTCAGAAACATGGAAAGCGTGTCAAGAAAATGATTTCCAACAGGCTGTGGACTTTCATCAACAGGTGCTGGCCCCATACTGATGGTCGAATGGCCAGCCAGAAACAGTGAGTAACAAGGAACTCTGTCTGAAAACAAACTAACCAAGAGCCGATCGCTCAAAAAATATGTAGGAGAAAATGAAGATGGATGGAGAATACATTAAGGAAACCGTCGAATGACATCGCTCACAATCCAGGCCATTGCCGTTTGGAAGTATTATAAGTGTGATCATTAGTGTTAATAAGAACTCTGATGTTAGTTGGTCCTTGGGAACTCCACTTGCTTTCTTCTGTTCCGCTGTCGTTTGTCATCCCTTCTTCTCTCACCATTTTAGCTTCTGTATGATTTTCTGAATGTGAATAATTAATGTGGATATTTGACCACCTGAAATGACAAATGATGTGCAAAATTTACTGGTCCCGTTTACTATAAGCGCCGCGAGAATTACCCATCGCCTTCACGGCGACACATTCTGGGTGACATTTGTGGAGTATCCATGCAGAAAATTCCATAGTTGTACCAAAAGTACAGTGTGGAATCAAGCTGTAATTGAAGGCAAAATATAAATCT